AAAAAAAAAAAAAAAGATTCATTTTATTTGCCACACTGAATGTCCATTCAAGCTGACTGTGATTCATTTAGTTGAAAAGTCTCTTCACAGCCAACTAGCCCACCCTACTCAGTTCTGTATGTGAGGAGGCCAAATACTAGGAAGGCCTGGTATTTTGTTTACACTTGGGGGAAGTGGCAACTCCACTACTTTCTTTTTCCTAGTAGATGACAGTGCTGTCCCCTCTGTTAAGGTAAATAGAGATCTGGCTTTTTTTCTGGTCAACATACTGATAGAATTTCTTTTTAAGTTGATGATGATCATATTAGTTTTATTTTGAATGAGAAGAATCTTATTTTAAAACTCTTATGTGAATTACCATCTTGTTTCTTAAACTTTGGAACAATGGTTTATATTACCAGAGAAGACATTGTAGCAACCCTTACTGGGAAGGTAGTCATAATTGTGAAGGGAAACATGGTTTTTTTTTCTTAAAGTCCCCAATACACGCATACTTTCTGGTTCCTCAGCCTAATTGCTTAAGTTTTTATTTTATTATTTTTTTTAGAGACAGAGTCTTACTTTGTCACTATCCATAGAGGGCTGTCGCATCACAGCTCACAGCAACCTCCAGCTTTTGGGCTAAGGCGATTCTCTTGCCTCTGCTTCCTGAGTAGCTGTGACCACAGGCGCCTGCCACAGCGCCCGGCTATTTTTTTGTTGCCGGGGCTGGGTTCGGACCCCCCACCCTCGGTATATAAGGCCGGCGCCCTACTCACCAAGACAGACGCTGCCCAATTACTGAAGTTTTTAAGAAATATTTTAACTTAACACTTTTGTCATCAACATTTCTTTTAAAGTGTTCCTTTTATCACTTACTGAGTTTTCTGGGTTTGACCTACTAAATATTCTGTGAGATGACATGTATATTTTTCTTGAAAGCCAATTCTCATGAATTTGAGATGAGATATTTCATGTTTGTTTTTATTTACTAAAGTACCTGGCACAAAGTGCACTCAAACCTAGAGTGGAAGTTTTATGTAAATGTTCGAGTTTGCATCGTTAATATAATTGTTGATCCACTTATAATTTGTGCAATATTGTACGTATGTAGAGAGTGAGTTATCAATAAATAGTGGTCTCTGTGATTATATAACAAAAATAAATTGGTAAGGGGAAGTGCACGTCTAGAAAAGACTCGAGAAATAATTCAGATAATTTCAGGATTATGAGAGTTAAGACCATCTTTTAAGTAATGTTGTTTTACTCAACCAACCTCATTAAACGGGATCATGCTATAGTGAATTGTACAAATAATTATTGAAAAGCATGAAAATGTATATTACCCCGATTGGTATCAAGGTTTTCTTTCTTTCTTTCTTTCTTTCTTTCTTTTTTTTTTAGAGACAGTCTCACTTTATCGCCCTTGGTAGGGTGCCGTGGCATCACACAGCTCACAGCAACCTCCAACTCCTGGGCTTAGGCGATTCTCTTGCCTCAGCCTCCCGAGTAGCTGGAACTACAGGCGCCTCCCACAATGCTCAGCTATTTTCTTGTTGCAATTTTGCTGGGGCCAGGTTTGAACTTGCCACCCTCGGTATATGGGGCCAGCGCCCTACTCACTGAGCCACAGATGCCACCTGGTATCAAGGCTTTCTTTGCGGTCTGATAATAGAAAACTTCACTTTCCTTGTTTGCTTGCATTTTTACAATCATCAGGCATTTCCCCAAAAATTCATAAAAGTTTTCTTTATTTTATTAAAAAAACACAAAAGCCATAGACTTTCCTGTTTTGTTTCCCACGGGTGAAATCTGTTGAGTACGTCAGAGAGTGGATTATTTTGCTCCTGTCCCCCTGCCGGTGGGGTAGGATTTTGCCGCAGGTTCTGGCGTAGGGCTGTGTCTGCAAACCAAAAACTACACAAGACTACAGAAAGTTAACGTTTTATAAACAGCGGCCGCAGAAAATAACTAAATTATTGGACTAGGAGCGCATCCTTTAACGCCCAAGTCTCTGGCCAGAGAAAACCAAGCGGCTGTGGCCGAGGATGCCCGGGAACCGAGGAAATACAGGTAGCAACGCCACCAACCTCAGCCATCTTCAGAGACGGACACGCCCACCCTCTCCTCAACCAATCAGGAGAGAGAAGGCGGGCCTGGGCGAGCAGTGGGCGGGGTGCGCAGTGATGGGTGTGTGTCTGGGGCGGGGCCCGGCCGGTCTTAGAAGGTGGCGATTTTCCCGGGCCCTTGGCTCCTACGCGCAAGTGGAGGCCCAGCCGGCTTGGGGCCTCGGGCTCCAGCGTCCGGAAATGGCAGCAGGCAGCAGGATGGAGGACGTGAGTTCATGGAAGTGGCGGGCGGACAGCCCCGGAGTCCCCTCTTCCTGTGCGGAGGCGCACAGGGCGGAGACCGCAGGAGAGCAGTCACCTTAGGCGGCGCCGCCTGTGCAGGGTTGGCCGGTCGCGGGGCTGTAGGGGAGGTGCGGAGCGCAGGGGCTTCCGCGGCTTGGCGGCTCCGGGCTGTGTTTCCTGGGTGGAGGCGGGGCTCCCGCGGCTGGCGCGCGGCTGCGGTCCCAGGCTGGCGCTTAGCCCGGCGCTGCGCGCGTTGCGAGTCCCGGAACTGGGCGCTGCACGTGACGCGTGCTAGGCCGGCTGGCCACCTCCGGAGGGCCACTGCGGGGCCGGAATCTCCCCTCTTTGCGTTTCCCCTGCTCTGGCTAGAGTCTCTACTAGGGTTGGGGACCTGGAGTGACTGCGACGTTTGACCCGGACGCTGGCGTCCTGCGAGCAGATCCATGGCTCGCTGTCATCTCCTGGAAACCCACATTAGAGAAAAACAGTGTCATGTGCTGCTTTGAATCCAGGTTTATTAGGAATGGAAAGGTTATTAACTCTTAGGTAGATCTGGGCCCGGCGCGGGGGCCCACGCCGGTAATCCCAGAACTCTGGGAGGCCGAGGCGGGTGGATCGCCTCAGCTTTACGGATTCGAGACCAGCCAGAGTCAGAGCGAGACCCCCGTCTCTAACAATAGCCGGGCTCCTGTAGTCCGCATACTCGGAATGCTGAGGCAAGAGAATCGCTTAAAGCCCACGAGTTTGAGGGGCTGTGAGCAGTGACGCCATGGCACTCTACCAAGGGCGACAAAGTGAGACTCTGTCTCAAAAAGAAAAAAAGTCTTAGGTAGATCTAAATCAGGTTACTTTAAAAATCTCGGGGGCCCATTTTACATTGCGTATAGTACAGAATGATAGTATAATTGTAGAAATCTTATTAAGTATATTAAGACGTTTTTTTCTGACAAAAATGAACGCGGTATTTGTGTCCAGAATTAACTGGATTTTCCATTGGCATATAATTAAATTTTGCCCTTGAGAAATGCAGAATTGACAGTTACAATAAAGCCCTAATTTAGGTCAGTGAATTAATAGTAATATTGCTATGATCCTATCGCTGGATGAAGAGCACCAGGAAAAGCAAAAGACACATGAAACACAGTTCCAGCACTAGGAGAGCTAAGATTCTTGTGCAAATAGTGGCCATGCTTAAATATCTTGATGAAGTAAAGAGCAAACAATTTTGAAAAAGATTAAAATTTTCTATTTTTTTATTTGATAAAATGGAAAACTAACTGTAAGACTGAGAAGTAGAATTGAGACTCATATATTGAAAGCAAAATTTATTGTTCGTGAATTTTAAAGGCGAGCGTCCTGAACGGACAGTTTGTGGGGAAAAAAAGATACGAGTTGAGGGATTTAGAAAAACATGTGTAATAAGTGCTTCTTGGATGGTGCTAGGGTTCTTGGGTGTGTGGTTTTTAGCTTTAGGATCAGTACAACTCTAGAATTGTTTTCATCAAATTCTGGAGATTACTGTTTCACCAACAATTCCATATCTAAATCACTTTAGATCTGTGTAAGTTGCATGCTTGTGGTATTTGTAGATATGATTTCTAGCATTCACTAAAAAGCTAAAAATTATGGACCGTTTCGTAGGCCCAGACACTTCAGTGAATTAAAAGTCAAAGACTGGGCCGGGCACAGTGGCTTATGCATGTAATCCCAGCACTCTGGGAGTCCAAGGTGGGTGGATGGCCTGAGCTCTGGAGTTCGAGACCAGGCTGAGTAAGAGTGAGACCTCATCCCTACTAAAAGTAGAAAAAAAACTAGCTGAGCTTCCTGGGGGATGCCTGTAGTTCTATGTACTTGGGAGGCTGAGACAAGGGGATCACTTGAGCCGAAGAGTTTGAGGTTGCTGTGAGCTAGGATGATGCCAGGGCACCTTATACTCAGGCTGACATTCTGAGACTCTAAGAAAAAAAAAAAAAAACAGATACGGATTTATTTGACAGGATATAGGGTGAATAAACACCAAAGTCTATGAAAGGAATCAAACAATAAATCTGCCTGCATCACGATCTTTCTTTCCTTTGCTGCTCATGGAGGGAGTTGGGTTGATTCAATTGTCTTTTGTTCCATAACAGCCCTAGGCCAGAGGAGGCTGAAGAGTGTTGAAGAATGTTTTTACTAAGATGTAATGTAAAGGTAGACAGTGGGTCCCCAGAGGAAATAGAGTTATTATTACAAAAGAATAGGGATGAGGGCTGGGCACAATGGCTCATGCCTGTAATCCTAGTACTTTGGGAGGCCAAGGTGGGTGGATTGCTTGAGCTTAGGAGTTCAAGACCAGCCTGAGCAAGAGTGAGACCCCCATCTCTAAAAATGGCCGGGCATTGTGGCTGGGGCTAGCTCCTGTGGTCCCACCTGAGGCTGAGGCAAGGGAATCGCTTGAGCCCAAGAGTTTGAGGTTGCTGTGAGCTATGACTCCAGGGCATTCTACTGGGGGCAAGAAAGTGAGACTCTGTCTCAAAAAACCAAACAAAAAAGCAAGATACCATGTGGGCAGAACCAACCAATATCTTCTACAGATGGCACCAAAGTTACTAATAGTGGAAATGAAGAAATAATTTGGATTCAGGAATCCCCTTCCCCTTGCTCTTCACTTGTAGAATGGGAGCTAATGATATGGTTATGACACTTATTTCCTATAGAATTCATTGGACAATACATTTGTCCACCAAATACTATGGTTCTTGACATAGAGAAGAACCATATTATAGTTCCCAACCCCTCCAGTGTAGTCAGGAAAAACAAAAGAGACATACATAAAAAGGAAAAATACAAGGCAGTGTAAGAAATATTCCAAATTCAGATGGATGAGCTACCCAGTAACAAAGAGATGAGAAAAACAACAAGAAAGAAATATTCCAAATGAATATTGTGGGCAGTGTGTTTTATAGGACTGTAGTAGAAGGAAAACACTTAGCAGAACAAGGTTAGTGGAGAACATGAGTCTTGGTTGGGACCTTGAAAGATGAGTAGAATTCTAAGAAAGATAAAAGGGGATATTTGTGGGACACTACAGAGAGCTCATTTAGGCTAGAAAAGGCACGTTGCTGGGCACGGTGGCTCACCTTGTAATCCTACCCTTTGGGAGGCCAAGGCAGTTGGGTTGCTTGAGCTCAGGATTTTGAGACCAGCCTCAGCAAGAGTGAGACTCTGTCTCTAAAATTATCTGGGTGTGGAGTGGCACCTGTGGCTCAAAAGAGTAGGGCGCTGGCCCCATATCCTGGAGGTGGTGGGTTCAAACCCAGTCCCAGCCAAAAAAAAAAAAAAATAGCCGAGTGTTGTAGCAGGTGGCTGTAGTCCCAGCTACTTGAGAGGCTGAGGTAGGAGGATAGCTCAAGCCTGAGAATTTGTGGTTGCTGTGAGCTGTGATGTCACAGCACTCTACAGAAGGTGACAAAATAAGACTTTAAAAGAGGCACATGAAAGTGATAGTAGTAAAAAGTGATAGATTATTGTCTTATGGGCAAAGATTTTAGTGCTAGATTTGTTTAAATTTTCCAGGTGCTAAGTGTTCAGGTAGTTGGGTAGTCTTTAATTCATTCAACACACATTGAGTACCTGCTAAGTATCAGGTGTTAAAAGTACAAAGAAAACAATATAGTAGAGTCCCTGGCCTTGTGAAGCACACTTCATTCTGACAACTGCAACACTATGTGCTTAGTATTGCAAGTTATGATAGAGGTGTATGAGATTTCAGTAGGGATTTCCGTTCCCAGCCAAGACAAAACCAAAAAACTAGATATAATGTGTGATACTTGAGCTATGGTGCTGTAGCTCAAGCAGCTAAGGCACCAGCCACGTGCACCAGAGCTGGCAGGTTTGAATCCAGCCCGGGCCTGGATTCAACAGTGTCACAACAGTGACAATTACAACCAAGAAATGGCTGGGCCTTGTGGTGGGTGCCTGTAGTCCGAGCTGCTTGTGAGACTGAGGCAAGAGAATTGCTGAAGCCCAGTTGGAGGTTACAGTGAGTTATAATGCCACAGCACTCTACCCAGGGTGACAGTTTGAGGCTCTGTCTCCAAAAAAAAAAAAATGTATGATACAACATTTTCCAATACCTCAGGCCTCAGTGAAGGACAGTGATTTCAGAGATGAGAAACAAATGTTGTGAGCCCTGTCATTACCCCATCTTACTGCCTTGATAGAGTTTACAGGCTGTGATGAGGAAGGGAACCCAGGCAGAGTACAGTGGGCTCTGGCGCTGAGAGTCTGGGAGACCAAAGCAAGTTGAGTTGATAGGACAGAGTACCCAGAGAAATGAGTTACAAGGAGGGAAAACCCTGAAAAAATCTGTAGAGAGTACCCTAAGTATTCAGCGGAGTCCTGATCAGAGCCTAAGGAAACTCTCTGTGAGCCTTGAAAAAAAAAAAAAAAAACACCTAAAAGCATTAGATAGAACAGTTCTTCCATGTAGGGTCAGGAATAGTACCTATTCTACCCACCATCCATACTGGAAACCTTATACTTCATGGGGTATCCACATAGAGCACTCTGAAAAGTGTCCCTACAAGAGAGGGGGAATAGACAGCCCTAGACTAAACACAGCCGTGCCCCCATCTAATGTCATAAAGCTAAGACCTACAAGATCAGACTATTTCTGAGTAACTTAACTGCATTCCACAACAAAACTAAAGAATATCGGAATACAGGAATGTCCAGCACCAAAAGAGTTAAAATTTTCTAATGTCTGTCATCCAGTCAAAAGCTACCTGGTATGTGGATTAACAAAAAAAGAAAGAAAGAAAAGTAAAAAAGAGGGCAGCGCCTGTGGCTCAGTGGGTAGGGTGCCAGCCCCATATACAGAGGGTGGCAGGTTCAAACCCTGCCCTTGCCAAACTGCAACAAAAAAATAGCTGGCTGTTGTGGTGGGCGCCTGTAGTCCCAGCTACTTGGGAGTCTGAGGCAAGAGAATTGCCTAAGCCCAGGAG